AAAAAATAGTTATTTCCCCATCTTCAGTTACCTTATTAATGTCTAGAAAGAATATGTGATAATATATAATAATTTTTCTATTTTATTAAAGGATGATACAAATAAAGATGAAAGTCAGCACCTTTAACAGTGATTAACATATAGGAAACAGCACGGCAGTGTGGTGGTTGGCATTGTTGCCTTGCAGCAAGAAGTTCCTGAGTTCACCCCACCATCTGGCCGTGGCCTTCCTGTGCGGTGTTTGCATGCATTCTGTCCGGGTACTCCGGCTTCCTCCAAAGACATGCATTTAGTGCGTTTAGGTCAGTTGGTGCCTGTTGCCCATAGGTGTGAATGTGAGTGGCAATGGTTGTCTGTCTCTCTGTGTTAGCCATGCGACAGGCTGCTGACCTGTACAGGGTGTAAACCGCCTCTTGCCTTAGGCTCTAGCCACTCCGATTAGGATAAGCAGAAGAGGATGGATGGACACACAACAATTTTGCAGATCCACAGATTTACTCCAGCTCTCATCTTTTTGTTGTTGAAAATCACTACGAAGGAACAAAACATAAAAGGAAACAGAAAGGAAAAAATTCCAGCGTAATAATGGCTGGATCACACAAAACTGACACACAACAGATCCTTTTTATTAGTTTTGCATGGCAACTAGTAGTTTACTGGTATCCATCTGTAATCAGATAACCAAGAGTCATCCCTCCCTGTTGTAATAGTGCAATGTCTGTGCCATCTGTGATGTCTGATCATAACCACACTACTATGTGTAATTAATGCCCACATTTAAATACTAGGACTGATTTTGTTACGTGCAAGTTTAAGTTCACAAGAAAACATGGCTTCATTTTAAAGAGTGACCACCACAATGGAGGTGAGAGTAGGTAAGACGACCTTCCTAAAATTGTGGAAATCATTTGTGATTTGTGTGCTTCCCGCATCCCATCTCCAGGTGGAATTAGTGAATATTGGGGCAGCGGACATCGTCGATGGGAATCACAAACTGATTCTTGGGCTCATCTGGAGCATCATTCTCCACTGGCAGGTATGTGTTAGTGTATGCTCGTACGTGTACGTCCTCCCCTGGATTTGTCAGCATTTGAAGACACTATTACATTGATACTTTAAAGCTGCCTCCATTTAGTTTAACTTTACTTTTTGTTGCCTTTTGTTGTCTGAGGTTGCTTCTTATTGGTCTAAGTGTTCTTTTTTTTCTTTTCACCTTGACCTTGATGATGAGTTTTCATACTGAACTGCTCTGAGGAAAAGAATTCAATGCAACAAAACAGAGCTGTGCAGGCTCCCTGAACTCTCAGTTGTATGTATATATACATTTTCTGTGGAAAGGCAAGGTATTCAGACAGGCCTTTTCGAAGCAAACAATACATGTTTTATTTATGGGAATCTTTTTCTGGTGTGTCTTTGTGGATCTGATTGTCAGTAATATTTTTCTGTGTAACTTACTGCCTTCAAAGTTAACATAATTAACACAAATTCCTTGTAACACCTCTAGTTGTTTTTGATGTGCAAGTAATGCAAACACACTTGTCAGACACCCATAGTTCAGGGTGTCTGACAGCAAGGCATCAGTAATGCTGTGGATGGGGAACAAAATGGATAAAGGGTCTTTTGAGTGGCAAATTCAGCTTTAAAGCTCTGCTAGAGGGTTCCCTTGACAAGAACAAAGTTATTAGTATTTACTGTGAATTGTAATAACACTGTAGTATGAGTCGAGTCTCAAAACACCAGCTACTAGTGGACCAACCTGGGGATGCCACAGTCAAATGGGAACCATTGAAAGTTGCAACCACCAAGTACCTGCAGAGGGTCAGGCAAGTCCTGAGGAGTCAGCTGAACAGTAAGAACAAGATCCTGGCTATCAACACGTACGCCCTGCCTGTGATCAGGTACCCTGCTGGAATAATAAGCTGGCCAAAGGAGGAGATAGAAGCCACTGTCATTGAGACAAGGAAGCTCCTGAGCATGCATGGGGGGTTTCACCACAAGTCAGCACCCTGAGGCTGTACGCTAAGCGGAAGGAAGGGGGACTAGTGAGTGTCAGCACCACAGTCCAGGATGAGGCAGCGAACATCCATGAATACATCAGGAGGATGGCCCCAACTGACCGTGTGAATACCTCAGGCAGCAGAAACCCAAGAAAGAGGTGTAAGAGGAGGAACCATCATGGAAGGACAGGCCCCTGCACGGTATGTATCACCAGCAGGCAGAGGAGGTGGCTGATATCCAGAAATCCTACCAGTGGCTGGACAAAGCTGGACTGAAAGACAGCACAGAGGCACTAATCATGGCAGCACAAGAACAAGCTCTGAGTACAAGATCCATAGAGGCTGGGGTCTATCACACCAGGCAAGACCCCAGGTGCAGGCTGTGTAAAGATGCCCCAGAGACAATCCAGCACATAACAGCAGGGTGCAAGATGCTAGCAGGCAAGGCATACATGGAACGCCATAACCAAGTGGCCGGCATAGTGTACAGGAACATCTGTGCCGAGTATAACCTGGAAGTCCCGGGGTCAAAATGGGAGATGCCCCCAAGGGTGGTGGAGAATGACCGAGCTAAGATCCTGTGGGACTTCCAGATACAGACGGACAAAATGGTGGTGGCTAACCAACCGGACATAGTGGTGGTAGACAAACAGAAGAAGACGGCCGTAGTGATCGATGTAGCGGTTCCCAATGACAGCAATATCAGGAAGAAGGAACACGAGAAGCTGGAGAAATACCAAGGGCTCAGAGAAGAGCTCGAGAGGATGTGGAGGGTGGAGGTAACGGTGGTCCCCGTGGTAATCGGGGCACTAGGTGTGGGGACTCCCAAGCTAGGCGAGTGGCTCCAGCAGGTCCCGGGAACAACATCCGAGATCTCTGCTCAGTGGAGTGCAGTCACAGGAACAGCTAAGATGCTGCGCAGGACCCTCAAGCCTATTAACTGAATAATGTTAGTCCAGTCACATGGTTGTTAGCCTAGTGACTTAGAAAAAACCCCACCAATGTCCAAAATATCCAGGAAAGGTAGTGGTTAGGGTTATAGGGTGGGGTGCTGAAGGTTTATGCATCTTAATTAAGTTTTTGTACCAGCCTTGTTTTGTATTCCTGTGTGCAGGTTAAGGATGTGATGAAGGATGTGATGGAGGGCCTACAGCAGACTAACAGTGAGAAGATTCTGCTGAGTTGGGTTCGTCAGAATACACGCCAGTATCCTCAGGTATGTTCCTTTACTCAGTCTTAACCTCAGGCTGACACACTGGATCATGTTCGAATAGCTGTCTCCCATAGTTACTACAGTTACCACCCTGTAACTGAGTGCTCAAGTACATGTAAGTAATGGCAGTCTCCACTTTCAAATTTATTTATTTTCATAGAGTATGAAAGAAAGGTCTTTAGTACTCTGGGGGGCTGGGGATGGCCCGGGTCTCCTGGGTCTGCCTCTGGCCCCCGGAGGACCGTTATTGTGTCAACTCACCCTCATTATGAAGTCCGTCTGTGGACAAAGACAGATACACAGACACTCACACAGAACACAACAAAATGTATTTATTTTGTGTTTATGTTATTGGTGGTTTTCCTTACAGTTGTAGCAGTTGTCAGCCGATTGCGCTTTCCAATCCTGCTCTGTCCTATAACATTTCTCCTTTTTCCCCCTTTGTTTTTTCTTTCTGCCCCTTTTTTCTCTTTCCATGTATGTCAGCTTTGACATTCTTAAATTGCACGTGTAGTGTGAGTAATAATAGAAATAATAATAAGACAAATTAGTAAATAAACAGATTAAAAAGAATAACAACAGAAATAATATAGAGAATTTATAAAGGTGGTCTTGGAAAAGCAAGTATGTTAGGCACAACAGTGCATTCAGAGCATAATTGTCAATGCGAAGCTGCCAGACAGGCTATTAGACATGTTCTAAGGGTTGTTGGAGGCTCTGAGCCAATCGATAAATTCTTTGAGGGCAAAATCATAATCAGTATAACCCTAACCTCGAGCCCTAACCCTATAATATCACAATGTTACATTTCGTTAGCTTCATAGCATAAGTGCCTAAGTCATTTTTTTGTGTTTTCGGAAAACAAGAAAAAACTAATTTTCTAAATATCACATGCACATTTTTAAATATCACATGCAATTTGACCAAAAAATGACTTAGGCACTTATGCTATGAAGCTAACGATTTTCGTTTGGTAAATATTTGGCAACAGAATTTGGCAAGTTTGATCAAAACAATAATTGTAATTGGTATAAATTAAAAATGTTATACAGATCAGGTGTTTGCTTGATTCAGATTTGGGATATATGTCATCATATTGCTTTTATGAATATGTATGAAACTTAAAAAGAGACTTGACATATAAAAATACTCTTAACAGTATCAGTAGGACATATTTGCACCGTAGAATATTTTTGTATATTTACAGTTTTATACCATGTGGTTAATAATTCTCTAATTTATGTTTCTGTCACTTGACTCGTTTTGTTTTGTGTAAGGCCTGAAGCGTAACTAAGACCAATCACAACAGAACATAGGACATGTGTTGAGCCGGCTGTTTGTGCAGGTGCTTGCAAAGAGCTGAAGTTGTGTTAACAGCATAATGCAGCTGATTCTTTCCTGGAGACAGTTTACACTTTACCATCACATCCTTGTGTGCACTAAAAATCAAAATAAAGTCCATATCCACACTGTAAACTGCGTCGCTGTAACTGCAACGATCAGCACGATCAATAGGCAAGTAGACTAAAAAGGCACTGAACTCCTGGCAACCGGTTCTCTACAATCGATTCTCGATTCCCGTCCATAATCACTGCAAACATGCGTGCCTCGTTATACGAAGTGCTTGACAGGAATAGCCACTGTCACTAAGATGACTTCTTAGTATGTTTTTTTAGCTATATATTCAATTTTAAACCCTTTTTGCCCCCATAGACAATCATTTCATGTATTAAATTTTTGATCCATTCACTGAAATTGAGAGCGAAAAGATGTCTTTAATCTATCTCTGGAAATGTAAACAGTATTTGGATGACAGTATTCCCACTCTTAAATGTCAAACTGCTTTCTCAGGTTGGTTCTTGAATATCCATTATCTCTGTCCTCAGGTCAATGTGGTTAACTTCTCCAGTAGCTGGAATGATGGACTGGCTTTCAATGCCCTCATCCATAGCCACAGGTATGTGTGTGTGCATGGGTGTGTGTGTGTGTGTGTGTGTGTGTGTGTGTGTGTGTGTGTGTGTGTGTG